CCACCTCAACCACACACACACGCTCCCCAACCACATCCCCCCACATATACTCCCTTGCTGTCCACACGCAATATATAAGAGCAGGACTGTATTTTGAGCTATTATGCAATTGCCTCTAGATGCACTATGCACATACATCAGGACAAAAATATTTTTTAAAATAAAATTAAAATAGGTTATAGTAGATGTTTGATTTTTTTGTAATGATTTGGATTTTTTTCTGATTTCAAGATGGCATCACCCTCCCTTCCAAAAGGAGTACTTCTGGGGCAAGGGGCAGAGGTTAGAGGTGGAACTTCTGGTCCCAAGATGGTGAACAGAGAGTGGGGCACCCATCAAGGTGGCAGAGAGACCCCTGTGGCCCTCAGCAGCTCACCAAAACTCATTACCTTTCCCTCCAGCCAAAATAATTGCCTACCCCTGTTTTAAGGCCTGGTTCAACAAAGCCCTGGATGGAATGATCTATTTGGGGATGGTCCTGCTTTGAGCAGGAGGTTGGACTAGATGGCTTCCTGAGCTCCCTTCCAACCCTAACTTTCTATGATTTGATTCTACGATTTGCTATCAGTTGTTGCTGAGCCAGGTGACTGCAGCATGCCTAAGGAATGTTTTTTAACCTGATCAGGGGCTTGGTAGTTTGTAATGGGCCCAGGGATACATCTGATATTACTGCAAACAAATACATTTCCTCCTCCTCAATAGAGAAGAAATAAGACAGATTTGACTAGGTCAGCACAAAGATCATTGCTTAAATGATTTCGTGATAATGCATTTACCAGACAAAACTGTTTTTTCGTTTTAACTAATAATAATACAGCTTTACGGGAATTTTTTTGTCGCTAACTTTGAGATCAGTTATGATAGAAAGTGTTGAAAAAAACATGTTGACACTTTTTAGAGCAAATGTGAACGATGAAGCTGATAATAGCTGGCTGCAAAAAGAATGCTACAAAGCACTGCACGGCACTCAATATTGTACATGCAGAATCACTGTTGATTTGTATAGAGAAGGTGATGACATTTGCTCTCCGAATGGAAACCAGAGGGTTTTTTCAGTCTGATGAAAGAATGAAGAAAGACACAAATACCAGCCGCTGCATAAAAGCTAGATGTACATGGTATCTAAACCTCTTTCCTGCCTCCACTCTTGATACTAGTGATACAAAAGTTAAGTCATCATTTATTGTCCTTCTGGCACAGGTGATGGCCAGTTGGTTGCCAGTGAGGAATATACAGCTATCACGTCTGTGTTATGTGGCTTATATTGCTGTAAAAAAAAAATTGCTTGCAGTCTATGGTGATAATACCCAGTTTTGCTTCATTTATTGGTTATTTAAAGAGTTTTATTGTTTTTATTTGCAAATTGCAGTAATGAGACTGCCTGAGACCCTGACATATTGCTTCTTAATCTTTATACAGGCATGACAGTGAAAAATCGGTTGGGATACTTTTCCATTCGCCTGAACAGAAAGGTAGTTGCGCTTTTTCATTGGGAAATTCATCTTGGGATCTTTCTCCACCTTTTACCTGCATACCCTCTTTTGGGCTACTACATCTACCAGAAGCTCTCTTGTGCCCTTCATGCCAACATTTCATTTCTGGGTTGTACCTTACTGTTTCAACATAAAGCTATCATTTGCCAAGTGCATTTATCAGTGTTTGGACACTTGTGCTCTCTTTAATAAAGCATTGTGCAATGAAGAGCTAAATTCTACTCAGTTAATTACAGGGGGGCAACCTCCACCAGCCTGAGCAGGATTTTTATCTGTGTACTAAAGAATTAAATTTAGAGTTAGTGGCTATAAATATAATAGCAACTGTATATAGGCATACAGTTTATTGGAATGGTTGACCTAGTAGGAGATATCGCTGTGGTCATTAATAGTCTCCTGTACTTTTTTGCAGTGATTTTCAAACTGTGTTTCATGGAACCCCGGGATTTTGCAGAGGGATTTCGGGGTAATGGCAGAGTGGGCCAGAGGCAGTGCACCACCTTTGCCAGGCCAGGTCTTCTGGTTCTGCATCAGCTCATGTAGCCCAGGGAGTCTGGGTAGAGGTTCAGTTCCACAGCAGAAGAAGTGATATGAAAGGGTTCCATAACTTTAGGAAGTTTGCATACTATTAACTTAGTGTATAAGCTACCCCCTTCTAGTCAATATATCCTTTATAGAGGAGATTTTCAACCTGGGTGCTAAAGCACACTAGGGTGCTTCCAGTACTCTGAAGGGTGTTATGAGGTGTGAGGAGATAAGCATGTAAGCTAAGCAAGTAAGTGCAGACTCAGACCTGTCACTGCCTGGCTGACTCCCCATCTCCTCTGCAAGGAGCTAAACACTGTAATATATAAATTAGTTTTTGAAATGGGGTGTCACTCAATTTTCCCAAGTTCTGGAGGAGTGTATTGAGTCCAGTGAGGGTGCCTCAAATCTAATGAGGGGTGCTTCAAGTCCAAAAAGGGAGAATCCTGCCCTATGGCAAGGGTGGCAAACTTACCCTGTCCCCATGGCTGGATCTGGACTTTAGCGTTCCTTGCAGGCCGGATCCAGATTCAAATATGGCAGCAGATACAGAATGAACGGCAAAAGTGGCCTCAAAGGTTAACACAGTCATCACTCACTTTCTGCTGCCAAGACTCATCCCAGTGAAGCTCCACTCTCCAGATTTTGGTGGCAGGCCCTGCTTCCACTTGCCCTGCTCCACAAGCCACATGGCACAGCTTTGTGGGCACGTTTGACACCTGTGCCCTGGAGTGTGGTATACCAAAAACTATCTCTAGTTCCATAGGAAAAAAAAGCCCAAATCCAAAAATTGTTTCAATGGTTTTAAATTTGACCCAATCCTTATGTTTTCTTCAGAATTTAACATACAATTATGAATTATTATTTTAAAAAATTATTATTGATATGGCTATTAAAATGCTTAGTTTACTGAAGATTTTTAGTAAACAAAAATTTCGAAAACATTTTCAGAAGTGGTTTTAATACAAGGTTGAAGGATGTCACCAAATTCTTCCGAATTAACACATTTGTTTTACTATGCCTTTATTTTATTTCATTTTTATTTTATTGCAAAAAAGGGCCAGTTTTAGTGGCAAAAATTCACTGAGAAACATTTAGCTAGCGCCAAACACTGCTGTGAGTTCTTTTACACACACACTGTGTTGATGTGACACCAGGGAGACGGGCTAACCTTTCACTGAAAAAGGATGTACATTTTGTTTTCTAGATATAAAAGCACATAGTACTGGTGTCTACTATATTTACTTAGTCCAACCTTGCAGAAATCTTCAAAAAAGAATTCCTGCAATTTAGTGAGCCATAAATCCCATTCCCCCTCCTTTCTCCACACTCATACTGTCAATCCTTAATCAAGCTGTGCTTCTTCAAGTGCTTCCCCATTTGATATTCTAGGACTTTCTTCACATTTTATATCAAGCTAACTGGTCTGTGGTTTCCTGTTATGTCTCTAGGCACTTTTAAAATAACTTTGTTATGTTAGCCACTTTTCAGTCCCCAGGGGTCTCTTCTAAACTAAATGAACTTGTGAATATGCCTGCTAATTCTTTAGTTTCTTTCCCCACTTCCTTTAGCACATTTAGATCTTTGTCTGGCTTGGTTTTTCAGGAACCTACAACCATTTTAATAATATTGGCATCTCATGCTTTCTAAAAAAAATCCTGATCATCTTCCTTCAGAAATGTGACTGTGACTGAAAAAAAACCTTCACCCATTTCCTGTTAAAGATACATTTACAAGAAACATCTTATTTTTATTTTTGTTTATGCTTCCTACTTTTAAAAAGGATTTCCACCAGCAACCCTCCCATTCCCATGCATATAAAATCAGTCATAGAAAAGAGAAACTGATTGTTGCTTGATAATTTTTGATTGCAACAGAAGTATAGTTAGGAATTTGGTAACCTGGGCAGGGAGGAGGAGTGGGAGTGCTGAGCACTTGAAAAGGTGGTGGTGGTACTGAGTGCTTGAGAGTCTTACCTTGCAGCACACTGACCACTGCCACTGCTGCTGCTATCACGGTGCAGGCTCCAGGTACATGAGCTGCTGCTGCCACGGTGTAGGTGGTACTGCTTCCATGGCACAGGCTTTTCAGAAGCTGCCATTTTGGTACCTCTAAATCAGCTCCCAGGATTGGTGCTGAATGGCATAAACTCCATTTTTCTCTTTTTTCAGTTTCTTTTTCTTTAGAACTTGAGTGGACAATTATTTCAACTAGAGGGCCAATTAATGAGTTTTGGGGACCTGTTGAGGGCCAAATCCATCTCCCTCTCTCTTTTCCTCTGTCTCTTCTCTCCTTCTCTTTTTCTCTTCCTCTCACTTTCTCTTTTCTCTCTCTCTGTCTCTGTCTCTCTCCCCTCCTTTCCTCTCTTCAGAACCTGGCCAAAGCCCTGATGTTAACCTGTGGACCCAGGCAGGAGCTGCTTCCATGCCAGGTGGGCAGCTATGACAGGTCAGCCAGGTTCTGAAGGAATGGGTAGGGAGAAGGGGAGAGGCAGAGAAACGAGAAGAGACAGAGAGAGATGCCTGGTGCAGCCTGCCTGGTGCAGCAGCAGCTCCTGCCTGTGTCCACAGCTGACGCCACTGGCAAGCTCCTGGAAGGAGCTTCCACCATGCCAGAAGAGTGGTGGGTCACCTGTGGACACTGCCAGCAGGTTCTGAATCCAGGCTCCTGAACCTGCCCAATGCATCCACAGCTGATGCTATTGTCTTGTCTGCTGTGGGGAAAGCCCCACCTGGGTCCGCAGCTGATGCCTGATGCTGCTGGGGCAAAGCCACCTGCCCAGCCAGCACCATGCAGCAGCCAAAGTTACTGGCTACTCATGGGCCAGATCTAGTGAGCTGTCCACCCATGGGCTGGATCGAATCCATTGGCAGGCCATATTTTCCCACCCCCGCTTTATACATACCTAGTCCTCCAGTTTGGTTTTTGTACCTTTTAAATGCTTATTATATCCTCTAAGCAATTGAGACTTGTGGTAGAGGTGATATCTTTTATTAGACCAAGTAGATTTTTGCAAAAAGAAAATAATTGCAAGCTTTTGGGCACAAACACCCTTCATCAGGCATAGGAGAAAAGATTGTAAAAGTTATCTTGGGTAGAAATGAAAGTTCATATTTCATTTCGACCCAGGAGAACGTTTACAATCTTTTTTCCTATGCCTAATGAAGGGTGTTTGTGTTTGAAAGCTTTCAGTCAAAGACATTTTTTGCATAATTCTAGTTGGTCTAATAAAAGATATCACCTCTAAAATGAGTCCTGATTGCTTTTGCCACTAGACCAGTAGGGCCACAACCTGGGTACCTAGTTGTTTATGTAGGGTTTTTTGCTTTTGTGTTTTGTTATCTGGGCTCTGTTCTGATGTTCTGCCTTTTTATGTCCATGTAGTGTTAGATAGTATTTTGTAATAGGCCCTTCCTCTCCCACACTGGTCTTGCCCTTTCTCGGCACATCTACACATGCAGGCATGTGCACTTGCAGCAGCTCGAATAGGAGGGGCACAAATTTGAGCCAGGGATTTTTGCCTCAGTGCATGTGCCCAGATATGCATTTTGGTGTGGGGCAAGTTGTGCCATTTGGAGCAAAATAACCTTCCCAGCTCCTCTTGGATCTGCAGCCAGGGATAGCTAGAGCCTGCGGCCAGCACCTTTGCTGACTCCAGCAGTATAAAAACCTGCCTTGTGCTGGTCCAAACAGTATAAAAACCTGCCCTGGCAAGCAGCTAAGGGCTAGTTGCTCTCAAGATCTTCTGAGGACCAGCCAACTGGTATCTGGGGACACTACCCCTAGTGCAAGCTGGACTGCTGAAGCAGCCCTGACCTGGAGTGGCCCCTGTCCCCTCTACCCACTGCAGCAGTCTGGAAGTGAGGGCTGCTGCCTGGCTGTGACCTGCTGCCACTGCAACAGCATCTGCCTCCTTGGACCTGAGGCCCCATGCCTCCTGCATGCCTGCCAGACCCAGATGGGGTGCCCCCGCTCTGCCATTTGGGCAACTATCACCCAATGTGCTCCTTGTGGTGGCCTACTCTGAATTGTCCAAGTGTGTCCTCTTGGCCCCAAATGGCCAACATGTCAGCCACCTCATCTGCCCTCCAGCTGGGTTGCCAGTGCTGGCCCTGGACAGCCTTGTCTGCCCAGATCTCGCCACTTATCTCACCAGCAGAGATCCTGGTGTCCCGTTTAAAAATTGCGAATTCTCTGATAAGAAAACCCAAAATCTCTCATTAAAAATCCCAAAATAGTGTTCTTCCACTATTAAAATGAAATGCCAGTATAGGTAGAGAGATCAGTTGGGCAATGTTTTATTGATACATTTACAAGTTTAAAGCAGTTTTGAAGCCTACCACTGCCTTTATCATCATAATAAAATAAATTCTAAATATCTATGCAGTTTGGCATTTACTTTTAGCTTTTTGTCATAGAAAAATCAGAGCTGCCTCTACCCCCTTCACTCACCAGGATGTGCAGTGCTGAGCAGCACTGATATGCCAGTGCTCTGCCCCTGCCCTTGCCCCTCACTCTCAACCCACAGCCTACCCCCTGGCCCAGTCCTCTCATTCTTGACCCACAGGGCCAGGTACATGGATGAGGGGTTTGTGGGGATGGCTTGGGGGTGTGGGGCTTGTGGGTTATTTGTGGGGGGACAGTGGTTATGGGGGGGCATATGCGGGGGCTGTTCAGGAGGAATGGGCCCCCTGCTCTTCGCATGGCACAGCCTCCATGCACAGCTCATGGACTGCCCCCCCACAGAGCCCACCTCTCCCCCTACAGGGGCCATAGCCCCCCCTGCAAGGGCTACAGCCCCCCTGCAGGGGCCAGAGGCCCTCCATAGGGGATACAACCCCCCTCCTCAGGGACCAGAGCCCTTCTGCAGGGGCTACAGCCCCCCACCCCCGCTGGGCCCGGAGTCCTCCTGCCTGGCCCCAGCTTCTCCACATGGCCTGCAGCTTCCTGGCAGCAGCAGTGACCATTGGGGCACTTGGGGCCTTGTGGCACAGCTCCCCCATGTGGTGTGGGGCAGCAGGGGGCAGTGTGGCTCAGTGCTGGCTGCCTGGCACCTGGTGCTGCCTCTGCCATATTGCACAGGTGCAACCCAGCTTGGTGCAGTGTCGCACAGCACTGTACACTTTTGGGCAGCTCTGGGCAGCTTGGGCTGACAGCATGGCTATCACTCGGGGCCCCACACCACTAGCCCAAGTGGCCCAGAGCTGTTTGAAGGTGCATGGTGTTGTGCAGCACCACACCTGCATGATGTGTCAGAGGCAGCACCGGGTGCCAGGTGGCCACCACCGAGCCACACTGCCCCCTGCTGCCCTGTGCCATGCAGGGGTGGGGGAGAGAGGAGCTGTGCCACAAGGTCCCAAGTGCCCTGGTGGCCGCTGCTGCTGCCAGTAAGCTCTGGGTTATGGGGAGGGGGGCTGGGGCCAGGCGGGGAAGCCCTGTGCCCTGTGGGAGGGCTGTAGCTCCTGCAGTGGGTAGGTAAAGGACCCACCCCTCCTGAGCTGCGCCTCCATGGAAATATTATATTATCTCATGGTTAAGGCAGATAGTTTCTAAAAGCTGATTCTCACAAGCATTAAAAATCATTAAATTCTTGTGTTCATATGGTTTTCAGCATTTCTGTGACTGTACAATATGATACAAACCATGAAAAAGTTACAAAAGCATATTCAATACTTTCAATCATGAACTGCATTAGGAATACTCAGCTTTTTATGAGCTCTGAAGAAGACAGTCAAACAGAAAGTGTTTGCAAATACCAAAAAGACAAATAACACAAAGCTGGGCACCTAGCTTTCTACTTGCACCATCTCGAAGATTCCTCTGCCATGATCATGATACTGGGTTCCCCTGCACTCACTGATTGACAGTAATGGAGTTATTGGGATTTGATCCCAAGATTTTTCATCCTACCATTCATGTGGAGATCAGTGAACAGACCCCACTGTGCCATTAAGGGCACAGACAGAAATTACATTTGTTGCATGATCAGTCCCTTGAAAGTGCTCTACAGCTGTGTCCTGACAGAAGTGCATGGCTGCAGAGTGCTTTAAAGGTCTCCAATCACATGGCAAATTAACCCTCATTATATGAGCGTTCATGTGAAAGCACTCCAAAGCAGAGCACCTTCATTAACTTCTGTCTACGTGCTATCTTCAAGATAGGAGTGGGGAGAAGGGAGAGGAGGGAGCTTGGCCTGGGATTTGCCCAGCCTGTGCTAGTGGGGAGGCAGGTGGATTGGAGCCCCCTGCTTCAGGGGGGGTTCCTATTCCCTTCCCCCTCTTCCAGCACAGGCTGGGAAAACTGTAGCCTGAGCTCCCTCCCCTTTCTTCTCCCCCCCTCCCATTGTGCAGACAGCAGCGGACTGGTGGTGGTGGTGGGAAGGGGCTAGGAGAGAGAAGCTGAAGACACGCAGCTCCTCAGCATTGGTGATGTGTAGCGGGTGCATGTGGGTGCACGTGCACCCCCTGAGATTGGCTGCTGCCGACATTGTTAGTGGTGCCCGCAAGCAGTCACCGCTCACCACCCCCCTCCTCACTGCCGACACCACCAGTGGGTAGTTGCCACCACTATGCTCTGGCCGCTGCCACTGCTGAGGGTGGTCACCATGCCCCACCAGCCTCCGGGGGCATGCATCATTCATGTTCTCAGCTTCATCGTCTCGAAAGTGGAGCTCAATCTTCCACCCTCTCAGCCCAACAGTGAATGTCTGTTGGGTCAGGAGGGTCAGTCTAAGTCATGGACTATCCAGAATAATGGCATGGCACTTTCTGTGAAGCTCCATGAGTTAGATTAGGGAGCTGCACATCTGTCAGTGCCCAAAGTGAACTTGTGCTGGGGGCAGCCTACGAAAAAGATACTGAGAGATTGGAGAGAGGCAGTTGTGTTGTATCTATATTAAGACTGAAGGGACATCTGGGAAGCTGCACAGAACTTCCATCTTTCCTACTCTTGTTTGGTTTCTTGACTGTCTATCTTTCCATTCTCTGGTACTGTTTTTCTTGCTGGTCCAAAAAGCAGATACAGGCCTCAAGATGTTACAACATGCTCTCTTTCTGTGCTAGGAAGGTTTATATACTGGACTTAAGAAGCCTGTGCTTCAACTAAAGTTTCTGGAATGTTTTGTGAACTGAAGATTTTTTCCATAGTTTGTAATGGTTGTGGCAGTTCTGTTGAAGAAAGAAGAAAATAAGTTGATCTGAAAAGCAAAGTGGACCTGCTAGTTCTCTCAGCATCTGTAGGAGCTGCTGCCTGGATGAATGCTCAGAAAAAGGAGCTCAGAGATGAAGACCTAGAGCAGCTTCCAGAGAACAAGTTAATAATAATGATAATGATGATGATGATGATGATTCTTTTAATCTGTTTTTGTTCACTTTCTCTCTCTTTGCTTGTCATTTCCCCTTTATCAGTTTGCCTTTGCACCAGAATTGTTTCAGCAGCAATAAACAGGGTGGATGGAGGAGAATAATTCTTATTAAACTGGAACAGGTTATAAACTTGAGGAGCTTACTTTTTCTTATTGACTATTAAAGATGAGAGGTTTTTACTCCAAAATACGTAGGTAGTCCCTACACAATCCTGCTAACTTAAAAAAAATTTAGCTGAATATGACAACGGGAGAATTATTTTATGAGGAAGAGTTAAAAAAGATAAATATTAAGCTAAGAATTTAGTTAATAAGGGCCACAAATTAATGTCTTCTAATATTTGAAGGTAAAGAAGGATTATTTAGAGTGCCATATGGAAGAATAGGAAGGAGGAGAGAAAGTGGATGACTTATGGGAATCTTCCATGGTAAAATCTCTGAGATTTTTGAGTAGAAACATTCCATGCTTGGTCTGTCTAATTATGACATTATTTTGGGTATTTTAAGCAAGAATGAATCATCCTCTTTCATGGATAACGGGGATACAATTAAATGCACAATTCCTCTATAAAAAACTTCTATTTGAACTTAGTTTTTAAAATCTCTCTCTCTTAGGTACTGTCCAGTGCTGTGTAACTTAGAAGCATTTGGAAACAGGGCTCCAAGCATGCGGAGCTAATTTTGTGTTGTGTTGCTAACTTTGGGCTGTGTATTTCTTACAATGATTGGATTGAACTAAATTAGTTTTACTGTAGTCTTTCTAGTTTACAGAAGCTGAGACAAGGATTTCTGTGCCTCATGTTTGGTAAGAGTCCTAACTTGGACACACATTGCTTTGGGCCTTAGTTTTTCATCCCACCTTTTAGGCTATAATCCTGGGAGGATATGTGCACTAAATAGTCCTTCTGAATTCAACTGAAATATTCAAAATGCATAAAGCTAAGCACATAAGCCTTAAAGAATCAGGGCCTTAGCATTTCAGCATGTTTCCACTCACTTTCTACCCTTAGGGTGATCAGTAACATAACCTAAAAGTTACTGAAGGCCCTAAGGGGTGTATAGTTATTTTGGGTGACAAAACAATGAAGTTTCTCATTAAAATGTAAGCAGAGAACGACGAATTAGGTGAAAGAAAAGGAAGAAGCAGGCTCTTGTAACATAAGGTGTTCTTATCTTAACTTATCCTTAAAGTAAACTTGCAGTTTTCCATTGTGGCAGAGTTTGAGAGAGATACTTATTCTGACCCTTAAAATCAAAACATGCTACTTCTAAACTGAACCTAACTTTGCAACCCATGTACATCTTAAACTTTTTTAATACTGTGAACAGTGAACTCTACATGTTTGCCCACTTTATGAATTTTACTTCATTAATCCCTAATATTAACTCCAGAATAGTCCTTGAAACTCACTGGTTTTGTACCACCTCCAGGAAAAATGTATGTTGGGTTTTTTTTATAATCCTACTGTTTGTACAGTTTAAGGAGTAATTGAAAACGCTCTTGAGCAACAGACTAGTCATTTTGCATACCTCCCTTATCTGTACAAACATTTCCTGATCTGCTTTCTACTCCATCCCTTGAGGTCAATAAGAGTTTCCTATAATCTCTTTATTTTACAGTGGGTCTGGTCTTGGCTTCTCCCATTTAAGACCAAACAGTGAGTAGAATTGATAAATATTGTCTTAGGCTTGTTCATTTTTCAAAGGTTGTCACCCCCTCTATGTCCTCCCTCCATTTTTCCACTTTTGAGTAAATTTCTTCTTAAATTGTGTCTGTTTCTTACCCATACTTCCACTGTTCTTTACATTTTTACCAGAGCAAGTATAATGAATTGCCAGAAAATATTCACTCAGATTTTTTAATGAATTTGTCTTTCCTGGGTTTGCCTTTGCTCCTTCCTTCTTTCTGTGAATATTTTAGAAAATAAACTTAGAGGATTTTTTTCAATATTATAGGTTTTTACAAAAGCTATAATTTACTTTCAATAAATATTTGCAACAGCAAGCTAATTAAGACTTTTTTTTCATCCCATATAGGCAAATACCATGTGACTAGGAGTGACCAGTCAGACAGCTTGAATATTAAATACTGAAGACTTACAGTAGCCTTTCAGCAGAATATGTGTCAAAAGCTTTTCAGACAAGAATAATGAATACTGTAAGTAAAATATTGAGCTGCAAGTGCAAATCATGAACTAAAGAAAGTCAGTATTATTGATTCTGATATTGGTTATGAATTATTACTTCTGTTCTACTCTGTTCATCTACTGCCTATGGCCTGACTGGGGTTTGTTGCCCTTTTGAAATTCTCATCAATATTGTTCAGTGGAAATAAACTTTGCTATCTTCTACATAAGGAATGGAACAATTGTTGTTGCCATTCCCCTATATCAGTGGTTTTCAAACTTTTTTCATACGTGGACCCCTAAAAAATATTGAATGGAGGTTTGGGCCCCTTTGAATTGTAAGTATGGGTATTCACGTACTTTTGATTGTTCATAGTCATGTTTTGCAGACTGCTTAAACATACCTTGTGAGACCCTAGGGGTCTGTGGACCACAGGTTGAAAACCACTGCTCTACACTCTCTTATTATTTCATATTTTATGAAAACCTTTCAGCATCTACTTCCCATGACATCTTCAGGCAGCTGGGTTTCCCATCTTCTTCCAGATTAAAAAGATACCTTATAAGGATAGTCTAAGCATGGCTTCTGGTCTTGCTCAGGCTAGGACTGAAGGAAATCTGGGGATATGTAAGTGGACTACAACTACAGGAAAGTAATCCATTGTATGGCAGCAATAAGAGTAGCCAGTTTGTCTCACAGCTAATGTAGGCATTATTCGTAAAAAATTCTAAATTATGAAGGTCAAATGTTCTTAAGGTGAAAAATAAAATAAAATTGGACCTACAGGTCAAGGCCCTTTTAACTAAGACATTGGACTCTGTGATGATTCTTAATTATAGATTTTGATTTTTAAAAATTAGAAGTGCATTACAACAAGCTTTTCAATTTTAGAGTAATATAATTAATAGCTTTTACAGCTTCTTCACTTTGAAGCAGCCTGATGAAGTGAAAGAGAACCTAAGGAGATGGTTCATTGAGTTATACAAAGTGGTAGTCTGGAGTCTGATTCTCCACTTGTGCAGACATTCACACCTCTGCAAGTGGGTGTAAACAGTAGGAGATCAGAATGCCATTCACGCCTACTTAGCACAGGTGCGAATGACTCCACAAGGTGCAAGGGAGTTGAGTTTATGAATGCAAGGGGGCCTCAGGAGTTTGGGAGTGAATTCATCTTCTTGAAAACTTGGCTATGCATCATTACTCAGCACTATGTAGCATGAAGCATTCTTTACTTTCTGCATGATTAGCCAGCCATCTTTTTCTTTCAGCTAGCCCCTATATTTAAATCATTTTTAGCTTTCATTGGGTGTGAGAATTGCAACCTGCAGACAATAGGAATACTGAATCACAGACACTAAAAGTGCTTAATATGTGTTGGAAAAAATGAAATTCTAGGAATAAGAGACCAGGGGAAAGCAAATTGCTTATCAGGAGGGGCTTTCAAAATGTGTCCTGTGACTCAGTAGTGCCCAGTCCTCCAACTGATTATTGGGACTGCTTATGGTGGGAGGCAGAGGCCACAGCAGGTGTTACATTTGTACTGGGAGAAAAGCCTTTGTCCTGGAATGAAAGGAGAGTGTACAGCCATTCAGGGGATTTCTTGTGGAAGAGTTGGCTCTTCTGTAAGAAAGTTAGATCAATATGTACCAAAAAGATTGCCCTCCTCAAGACATCTAATTTGAATGGCTGTACACTTCTCTTGGGTGGATATTGGGTGGACACCCAATATCCTGTAGTCCTCTGCTCTCCCTCCCGACCTCCCATGGAGTGTGAGGGGGGACACTGGCCCCCTGACAGCCTGGACAGGGAGCTGTGAAGAGCCTCCTTTGAAAATCCCACCCCTGTAGTTGATTGATAAGGGGGGAGGCAGTTTTCTCCTGCAGTGGGAACCCTCCTGAACCCTCAAGATGACTGGTGTCAGGGGATAATGGCTGTGGGCCACCCAATCCCAATAGGTCAGGTTGTTAATTACTGGGCTCCTCAAAGGATGGGGGTGGCCCAGGGAGCACTCCTCTTGTGCCTCGTAGCTGGAGGCTAGCTCTCCAGGGAGGGAGCTCGAATGCATGCATGCTTTAGCTCTTGGACTATTTTTCTAGTGGTAAGAACTACAGAGAAATTCTTATCAATAGAAATAAAAACCTGTCTGTGACCACAGTACTGGTAGGATCAACTCTAAGTTTACAAGAAGCATGGAAAGAATTACCAATCCCTACTGCAGAAAGGGACTCTGGGAAGCTAACTAGTTTTTAAAGACCTCTGTAAACCTAAGGCAGCACAGTGTGAACTAGACTGTCAGGGAGAAATTGCAGGTTAGTAAAGCAGGAGGGAAAATTATTTGAAGCATGTATTAGAGCCACTAATATTATGGAGCAGCTCTCATATTAAAAAAAAAGATAGAGATTGTTTGTTTTGTACTTATTTTGTAAACTTTATAGTGATTTCACCATAAATTACTCCGATTCAAGACTACTTTCTTACTGTAAAGTGAGTTATTTCTAAAGATGTCATTCACTTTTGCATCTTACAGAATAACTAGGCAAAAACGCTGTGAATATACAACTGAAATTCTGATTTATTCAGTCATTAGCCAAAAAGAAGTGCCATTTCAATGGTAATAGAATGAAAATCCAACTGGTGTTTTCTTTCTAAAATGTGTTTTCCATAGAGATTGCTGTTCTCAGGCAAACACTTATTTAAACCTTTGAAATGTATAATCTTAACTTTATATAGCTCTAGAAGTCTAATGTTTCATCCCTACTTACAAAAGTATTACAATTTAAGTTTCAATAATGCAAGAAGCATCTGTAGAGAAAATACCAGGAAAACAGCTTTCCAGGAAAGATGTTACAGGTTTGAAATAGGTTTTTCTTAAAATTTTTATTATAAAAGCTATAGCTTTTTGAGCTTGTTAATGAAAGTACAGGATGTAATCTTAGGAGGTTCAGCAGTATGTGGTCGAAATCCAGTCATTAACACCACAATTCCACTGTCGTTCTTCTAGCATACAATTAAGGAAAAGAAAATCAAACATTCAACATACAGCTGTGCACTAGATACCTGCATGGAAACGACTCAGCTTTTTACAAACAAAACATTAGCATTTTAAGGATGGTGTTATTAGAAAGTCATCTATACCATCATCATGCTTGTCATTTGAAAGTAATCTAGTAGGGGGGTATATTCATTGGGAACTGAACTGAAGAAACAGAGTGAAGTGTTTCAGCACTTTTTGTTCCCTTTTACATAGGCTGTGCTGCATTCACCCTAGAGGATGGGAGACCAGTAATAAATATGTATTTTGCTTGGGTTTTTTTCCCTTAATATCTTTGTGGGTGGGTGGCTACTTGCAGTAAAGTTCCCATTCATCTAACATTTTTAATTAAGTTAATGTGCTCTGACAAGGGCTAGCAGGGAATAATCTCCACAGGCCATGAAGCAACTGCAGAGCCACTCTGTGGAGCCTGCTCTAGCCTAATGGCTTGAAAAAGCTCTTTGGCCCTTTCTTATGAGCTGGAGGACAGGAGGATCCATGCAAAAATAGGTATTTGGCCTGTATCTCTGCAACCCTTCTGCTGGGTATTGCTACATGGGGTCCTTGAAAGCAGCTTTGCTGCTGTGAGTGGGGAGCACATACAATGCATCTTTTCCATGCACTAGCTTTTGATTTAAAAAAAATGAAGAGTAATTTTGGGTGTGCAGCTTGAGACACTTTTAAAGGAACTTGAATTTCATTATGTGCTCAGCATATGTCCTCTGTGAATGTGGCATCTTTCAAGTCTCAGACTGAGCCGCCCAGAAGAAAGGTAACCAAAATCATTAACCATCCTTGCAAATGAATGTGACTGCGCATTCCTTTTAGGATAAGATGAATATAACTGTCTCCTGAATAAAAAACAAAAACCTACACTTCCTGCCTTGGCTGTGGTTTTATTATGGCTGCATGTGGGCTTTGATGTTTTTACGCTAGCAATATATTATTATAAAAGTCCCGTATTTTGAATAAACCACTGCCTAAAAGATACTCGGATTTTGATTTATTTCTCTGCAATTCTTTTCAAGTACTGTAAATCATATTTTTGTGTTCATTTACCTTTGCATTCTTTTTGAGCCACTGGCACTGAAGCTGACGAATGAGAATCAAATGAAGTGTGCTAAGTGTTGCTGCTGTAGGCTTTTTATCTCCCTCTATTCTGTGGTGTGATTTATCTTGGTAATACATCACATACCTTATTTTCCTTTGCTTATTTTATTTAGCGTTGTCACAAGTAATATCAGTTGACCATCTACCATGAGTGCTAAACAGTAGTAAATTAATGAAATAAACTGAATCTACAGAACTCATCTGGCCCAAAATTTGATTAGAGACACTCGAATTGCACCAAGCCATTTGCCATCGCTGAACCTCATTTATTAAATGAGCTTCATAGGGTCTTAGTAGAGTACAATAAATTGCTATGCATAGCATTTGCAGTGATTTTAATGACACACTTTTTTATCTCAATCACTATGGGTATTTCATGTTTATGAAAAGGGTATTTCCAGTAACATTATCACTTTGGCCTGAATCATTCCCAACCATTGAATACAAGATTTCTCTTCTTCTAAAGAAGTGAGGAATAGAAAATCTTCTAACTATCTTCACAAATGTGTTTTAACAGTCTCTCTCTCTTCTTGGCTTAGGAAACTTCATTATTTTAGTTAGTTATTAATAACTGCTTCACTTTTGCAAAATAAGCTGTACTAATGCTCAGCTTCCATATTTACACTCCACAACTAGAACGTGTCTGAACCAAACCCCAAAAGGGTTGTTCACACATTACATGTAGCTTGGATCCACCTCTAAAGGTGTCAGCCTTTTCATGGGAAGGGTAGAAACAGGGAAAACAATGAAAACAGAACATTCCCATGACACATAATTTATAAAAACTAGTGCAAAAACTAAGCTAATTTGGTAGTACAGTATTTTAATGGTATGTAAAGCACCTGATACAGATCGAGACACATGTCCTTGTTGAGAGATGAACAAAAATTAAAAATGACTGAAAAGTTCTTTGAAATACATATGCTAGGGATAAAAACCCCAGGAGACAGGAACGGAAAGAGATTTGAGGAGGTGTGAAAATCTGGACATAGTAGAAACTACAAAAAATAAAATAAGTAAGAACAGTGGGCAGAATATGTAGTCTGAATACCCAGAATAAAATGGAAAAGGGTGATAAAAATAACGACAATTGAGGTCAGGGAAATAACATAGTAGAAGAGACAAAGACTAAATGGATTTGATAAAAATGGGGTGACAGTGGCACAGAATGAATTAAGAACATTTGAAGCAAGGGCTTTTTCCTGCTGTGATTTTATAAATGATTGTAATGGTGATCTGGTATTCAGATCATAATCTTAAAATTGGCCGTAAAAGGAGAATTTTGAAAATTCCTCAATCCTAGTTATAATCCATGGCTATTAGATGCATTTGAAATGAGAAACTCTTTTTAACAAAAAGTGCTGTTTTAGTAAAAGATGTTTTTGTGCTCAGAAGGTTAAATGTCATCCCCTTATCCTGTCATAATATTCTGTTTTTCTGGCTTTGGACAGGTGAAGTAGATCCCCCCCCCCCAGTTTAATGTGGTACTCACATTCACCTAGCAGAGGACATATGGAGAACGGTACAATTTGGTTGCAAAATGGTACATACCCAGGAAACTTTGCCATCTTATCCTTCAAAATGGAAAATTAAAGAGAAATTGTATACCCATATCCTTCTATTAACAGTTGTATCTAGAAAGCCAGGACTTCCACTAGCTAGAGGCTCCTGATTTGGTTTTGGAAAAGCAAATGCGTAAACTACATTGTGTTTTTTCCTTCCTGTTTCCTAAGTATTTCAGCACTACAGTATTGCCTTCAAAGGTCAAAAGCTGGAGTTTTTTCCCCTTGTTGCCATCTGGGCAAAATCAACATAAATCCAAGCAAGCCGATCTCTCTTTTACATTTTTCTATAAAAACTTTGGAAATCAAATGTATCTGACAATTTTGTAGGTGAGACAGAATAGAACAGCTTGTTCTTCTTCCCAGGCTATAACAGCTCTGCAGTACTAACAGTGGGGCAAGGAGGGGGAACTTGGTTTTGGCATTAAATTAAACAAATAAGGGGTGGAAGACACAGTAGAACAGATACTGCATGTGCAATAGCAAGATGCTATTTTTTACAGTGTCACTTGCCTGACCCTAACCACATTTTAAAACAACTGTCTGTCAGCAAATTAAAAATCCTACTGATAACAGTTTGCAGAGAGCAGCTATATTGATTCTGATTTCAAACTATTTCTCAGTGGAATGCTTGTTCAGTAATGTATTTGGCCTGTATTTATTCTCTGTTGTAGAGTAAAATAATAAAGGTTTTCATTAGTTCAATAATCTAATCTCTAGTTGTCAATAATATTCATTTGTATCATAGAATGTCAAGAGATCTTTGCCTGATCAGAACTCCACTATGCTAAGAGCTCTACAGGTGAAGAGGCAAAGCCAGTCCATGCCCCAAACAGCTTACAACTTTGCATAAGACCAGAGGCAACAAGAGGAATGAAATGAACTCAGAGAACATGGAAAGATGATAAGCTACTATCCTTTTGATCCTCATAGGATGAGCAACTGGAGTTGTAAAATAGAATACATCATGCCCAGAACTAATTCATGACTTTCTTAGAAGAAAAGCTAGGGCTCAAAACAATACTTTTTCTCTTTTATGAGGAGTGACTTCAGCCACACAATGCCTTATGTTAAAGCAAGGTCTTTAACTGCTGTTTAAAGAGCTGGAACAATACCACCAGACAGACCTTGAGCAGAACAGAAATAGTTTTAGCAGATTGTAGCATGCTAATTCAGTCTGTATGGTTGCAAAAGGCAATGTATCCCATTGTGATGCATGCTTTTTACCCAACACATCTGCATTGAATTGCACTGTTTAGACAAATAGAAAAAAATGATTTCAGTTTCAGGGTCTGAGATTTAGATATTCATTCATCTTAACCATTTGTCCTCTTACCATGTTAAAATATAATTTCTTCTATACTTAACAAAAGGCTGCCTGATGAACATTGTATGAAAAGTTTTTAGGCATTTCTTACCAAGCCTAAAAGCACTGAGGACCACAAAATATATCCTGTGACTAGTTAAAGAATAATAATGTATACTTAGCATGCTAATATTAAAGCACAATTTTATTTACTGAGGTAAGCACTAGAGTCTTTAGCATAAAACTCCAGAGACAACTCAAATATAGCCTCTGCCACCTACGGTTCATAACAAGATGGAGGTCAAGGTGTAGAGCCATTTAACTTAAATCCCTACTTAAAGTTATTAAATGAGAAAAACCTGGTGCCATGCAATGGGGATATATTTTGTATTAGCAACATTAAATAATGTCATTAAAAATAAGAACTTAGTGGTAAGGAAAGTAGAAAAAAAGAATAAGTTTCAATCCATTTTAATGTGTTTAGCAGAGCTTCATCTATTTTATTCCTTTCTTTTTCTTTTCTTTTCTTTCTTTCATTCTTTCTTTTTTTTACATGGGGGATGCAGTCCCCCGCTACCACAAATTATGCAGTTGAGTTTCCCACATTTGGGGAAATCGCAGGGGTCAGACCAGAGTGCAAGGTTCAAGCCTCATTCTGGGAAAACCACCTGGTTGATAATGGTGTCTCCTCTCCCCCCTCCCCTGTTTTTTTTCATGTTCTTCTACCTCAAATAGACATGTGGGTTTTTCCCCAAATGAAGGAAAAAAATGATCTATTTGTTGAGACTAAGCATCAAAAGTTTCAGTCAAAAAGAAGCTCCTCAGCAAAATATAATGAGTGAAAAAGGAGGTTTTAACAGAACGCTATATGTGACCATAACCATAGCACTGCCTACTATGAAAGCTATAATAATTGCTTCCAATTTAGCTACAGTACTGTATACTAATGAGGGATCGGACATGATAAGCAGCCCAGCTGCAACTTAAGTACCTCTGCAAGCAACATTCAGGGGGCAGTTTCTATTTCCAAACTAGCATATTTTAAAAACATCAGTGTCTCTAAAGAATCGATTTAAAAGATCTTGTGTGCGTCGATCTGCTGTCACATTCACGAGCAATGAGGAGTTTGATTATCAGCTTTTCAGTTTTAAATGGATATAATATGATATGTGGAGTTTTGGGGGGGAGTTATTTGAAATTATTAACTCCCACTGCAATAAAAGGGGGCTTGAACTATCTAAAGAAAGATCTGTAATTCAAGGCAGAAGTCATCTGCTAATTTGGGGGAGCTAAAGAGTTTCCATAGGGTGGTTTACCTTAGGATTTCTTGCATTTCCCTTTGGAATATTGGCCATTGTTAAAAATGGGATCCTGGACTGCAGGGGCTGACTAGTCTGATCCAGTATTGAAGTTCCTAATCAATGTTTATTGATGAACTTCTTCCTCTGGAAAAGCTGGAGTAATTGAGCTTTGGTGAATAAAGAGCAGAGGGAGTTGGGAGATGAAATCTGGCCATAGCCTTAGTAGGTATCTCTTTATCTTTTTTGTTTAAAACGAGCGAGAATCTGGACTAAAGAACCTTCTTTAGCCTCTAGAAAAAAGTTGTGCCATGAGAGCCAGATGGCAGGGAGGAGAGACAGAATAACTAGGATATGATTGTGGCTTAACTTATTGTAATAAAGATCCCTACACAGTTTTGAAGAAAGTATTCCTTGTTCCTTTGTCATTGTGATACAAGTTGCTGGGTAGCACTGCTGTCTCTCACTCCCCTTAGTGGAAAGTCGAAATGTCATTTCTGTTTTGGAATCATGGATCATGTCTCCCTTTTCCCAGCCTGCTTGGTTGCTGTCCAACAGTAAAGTCATCCCTCTATGGTCCCTTCACCACATGTTCCCCATGTGCAGCTCTAGCAAAGGCCACATGAAGATGGGTGGCCTTCTAAATATATATAGTAAAGTTCATATATATATATATAGCTAAAGTATGTATATTTAAATATATATAATAAAACCTGTGTTTCACTGGTTTTCTGTATGAATGTGAAGATCAGTTTATTTAGCTGTTTTTAAATGGCATGAAAACTGTCACTCTTAAATAGAATTGTTGCTGGGCCAAAAGCCACCAGAGATCCATAACAAGAATCTTAGCCAGGGATGACAACGGTTTTTCATTTCAACTGAACTAATAGCATTTTATCAAATTTAGCAAATTCATACATATTAATTTAAAATCCCAATAAAGCCTCACACCTACAAATACTTATGCATATGTTTAAATGTACATACTGTAGTCAGTCCCATGGGACGTGCATAAAGCCCAAGTCTTTTCAGGATCAGGGCCTAAAATCTATAGCCCTTTTTGCTCCTAAGATACAGCCATAACTTTTGTGTTGCAGTTCCTCTTGTAAGCTGATGTATGGAGATCAAACTGCATGAAGAGTCACTGCTATGCCTTAGAATAATCCAATTGTATGGTTTGGATTGCTTTTCCCCTCCGTTGAAAGAAACAGTATTAGGCATTAGACTCAACTGTAGAAAACAGACTTTACAACTCTATGCACTTTGAGCTACACATGCACTAAAATGAATGATTAGCTAAGCACTGAGGTTCTCCAAATGTCACTGCACTGTACATGTGGTTTCTGTTAGAGAAAATTGATTGTATACCTTAAGATATAGTCACTCTTGTCTTGGAACATGGGGTTGGATTAGAGGACCTCTTGAGATTCCTTCCAGCCTCATTTTCTATGATTACAGTAATTAAAAAATTAAAGGTTGTGAACCAAGGCATTCTGGCTAAATAATGTACAATATAGAATCATAAAAAATTTGGTTTAGAATGGACCCAGGAGGTCATCTAGTCCAACCACCTAGTCCAGCTCAAAGCGGGACCATCCCCAACTAGATCATCCCAGCTAAGGCTTTGTCTAGCCAGGTCTAAAAGCCTCCAAGGATGCAAACTCCATATCCTTTCTGGGTAGCCTGTTCCAGTGCTTTACTACCCTTCTAATGAGAGAGTTTTTCCTAATATCTAACCTAAACTTCCCATGCTGCAACTTAAGACCATTGCTCCATGTCTGGTCATCTGCCACCACTGAGAACAATCTAGCTCCATGCTCTTTGGAACCTCTCTTCAGGTTCTTAAAGGCTGCTATTAAATCCCCCCCTCAGTCTTCTCTTCTCCAGACTAAATAAGCCCAATTCCCTCAGTTTTTCCTCAGAAGTCATGTGCCCCAGCCCTCTAACTATTTTCATTCCCCTCTTCTGGACTCCCTCCAATTTGTCCACATCCTTTCTGCAGTAGGGGGCCCAAAACTGAACAAAGTACTCCAGATGTGACCTCACCAGTGATGAAAAGAGGAGCATAATCACATCTTGATCTGCTGGCAATGTTCCTACTAGTGCAGCCCAGTATGCTGTAAGCCTTCTTCACAACAAGGCCACACTGTTGGCTCATATTCAGCTTGCTGCCCACTGGAACTTCCAAGTCCTTTTCTGCAGAGCTGCTGCTTAGCCAGTTGGTTCCCAACCTGTACCAGTGCATGGGCTTGTTCTGTCCTAACTGTAGGACTTTGCACTTGTCCTTATTGACCCTTATGAGATTTGTTTTGGTCTAATCCTCCAATCTGTTAAGGTCTCTCTGAATCCAAGCCCTACTCTCCAGGGTGTCTACTACTCCCCCTGCCCCCCCAGCTTGATGTTACCTGCAGACTTTCTGAGGGTGCGCTCTGTGCCATTTTTTAGGTCACTGATGAAAATGTTGAATAAAACTGGCCCCAGAAAGCTTTTCAAGAATTTCACAAAAACTGTGATTTACTCTGAGGTTTGAGTGCTCTGAGGTTTGTTGCAAATATTTCAGAAGTTGCACCAGTCAGGTTGTCTCAGTCATGCCCTGAATCATGACTGCTGTGCTGATACAAACTGACATTGTAATAAATTTAAAGAAATATGTTATGCTGGGTTGTGTCACCTTGTTTGATGTTATACAATATTTTAGCCACTTGTTATCAGTTTTATTTTTTTTAGATAATATAGTATTATCAAAGGTTTACTTTTAACCATGTTACTCATTTTGTCCTTGAATGATTTCTAGGACTCAACTCTCTCCATTATTATAGATTTTGCTTGAAGGCCCAAGCCATGTCAGAACTGAGATGTCTAAACTTGTGGAGAAAGTGGCATGGAGGTCTTTGTTTATTACAAAGAGACGCAATTCTTCACTTTGCACGATTAAACTTTTGCCTGTTCGATGAAGAAGAAAGAACCACTCCCATCATACTGTGAATACATGATTGCAGACTACTTAGAAAACAACTGAAGCATAGAAGACAGGCAAGAATGAATGCACTGCATCCCATCTGTTTGTCCTTTTGGTACATGTGGTAATGGTCACTTATCTGACTACCTGTGGATATGTAAATGTATTTGAAATGATGAAGAACTCTCCATTCCATGATAATGACAACAACCCGTGACATTTCTAACCTTAGCAGCAGGTTAGAAACTATTTGTGTTCTCTTCCATTAAGAATTTTACCCCTTCTGACACATCTATTTAGTTCTG